TAAAGTTTAATGGTGATTCTGGAGAGAGAATCTAAGTACAGAATGCTGGAAGAAATTCAGAGAGTAAAGATTATATTCATGAAGTTTCACATGGAAATAAGTACTCTTGGGAATTTGGAGGCTTCTCTTGTTAGATTTTGGCATCAAACAAGTTTATATTTTCTCTGTGCTCTCAGACTTTGAACGAGGCTGATTTTAAAGGTGATGGACCACTTTATTTGAAAAAGGAAATTTCAAGACAATACAGTATTCCATCCTTGGACTGGACACTGTGCCTGATTTTTGCCATATTTACAGTAAGAATTGACTAAGCAGAAGAGTTTGGAAAACTTTCAGTTTGGCCAGAAAATAAGTGTATGTAAGTGTATTTAAATTTCTAGCCAGCAGGGGTGCACTTTCTAAAGAGATTATTGTCCCATGAAAAGGAAACCAAGTCTTTTTCAATGGGACAATAGGAAAGATGCCTTGAGGCCATTCAAGAATTGGCAAAGCCATGTCTATCATAGGCTCAAAGGTATAAAAGTGTAAACTCATTTTAAAGACTTTACTTTGAGAGGAGAACTCAGGGCACCCTACTGACATAGGGCAACCAGGGGCATTGCTTCCCCAGGATACATTTTCCCATGTTCAACCATGGAGATGCTCAGAGGCCACTACAGCTGTGGGTTCCAGTACAGTTCATGCCAGTGACAGACCTTGGTGTCATCTTATGATGCTAATTTTGAGAAATGCAGAATTCAAGAGTTGGGGGGTTATGGAGGCTTTCACCAAGATCTCAAGGGAAAGTTTTGGATGCCAGACAATGGATGGCAGGGTGCGAGACCTGCTAGCAGTTTCTGACGTGTGACGTGTGAAGATATAGGAGTGCAACAGAAGCTGCAGTGGAGATCCCAGGAAGGAAGAGATGCAAGGAACAGGGAATGCCTGCTGAGGAGACCTGCAGGAAGCAAGCAGAGCAAGCCCCAGAAACTGGCCATGTGGGCTGAAACCTGCAAAGCTGTAGAAGAGGTGTCCAAATCCTTTGGAACTCATTCTATGTTAGTCTATGCCCCAGATGCTAGGCAGGGAGCTACAGTGTCTTAGCTTTTCCTTGCTAGTTTTTGGTATTACTTTGATCTGATCTTCCTTCCTAGAATGGTAATGCTTACCCTGTACTATTTTATTTTGGAAGTATGTGTCTTTTTTGTTATTGTTTACAAGGGCTCATAGCTAAGAGTCTGCCATGAGTTTCAGAGGAGACTTTGGACTTGGACTTATGGCCATGCTGGACAGTTAAGACTTTGGGAACTCTTGGAGATGGATTCAATGCTTTTTACACTGTTAAACGGACATGAGCTTTTGGGGACCAGGAGCAGAGTTCTATGGTTTAGCTCTTAAATGTCTCTCAAAGTCCCCTGTGTTAAAGGCTTGCTTCTCAGACCGGCACTACTGGGAAGTGGTGAAACCTTGTGTGGTAGAGGCTAACGAAAGGAAGTTAGATCATTGCGGGTGTGCCCTTGAAGGCGATATCAGGACCCTGGCCGCTTCCTGCGTGGGCTCTCTCTCGTCCAGCAAGGTCGTCCACGGAACAGGCTGTGGAGTCACTAATCAAGACCTCTGGAGACCAAGCAGGAAGCAGGTCTGATTTTGTTGCACAGTTACCATGTAGATATACTCAGGCAGTAGCTAAGCAGATTACCGGTAGCCACCAATGCAAAGTCTGCTAACTGTCCTTGCAGTGACCGATCAAGGAGTGGGCCGTGGAGCAAGCACAGGGACTGCAACACATGGCCTCATGCCCAGGGCTGTGCCTACGGGGTAAGCGGTTTGCCACGCAGACGCCCTTAACCTATGCCATGTATGCAGTACTCCATGCACCTGTCCCCACACCTTCCTGTCACTGGTTTACTTCCCAGCTGCCATGAAGTGAATAGGCCTCCTCGGCCACCTGCTCCTCCCGTGAGGTGCTGTGCTGCAACAGGCCCACGGCAACAGGGCTGTGACTGAAATCTCTGAAGCCATGAGCCAAAAAAACTTTCCTCTTTATAAGTTGTTTACCTCGAGTATTTGTCAGAGACAGAAAGCTAACATACAGTGTTTTTGTTTTAGGTAGTTTTGTTGTTTTTATATTTTCCTCAAAATATATAGTTTTATATATTAATTGTTTTTAACTTTTTCCAAAGCATTTAATGCACTAGACAATCTTCTGCTTTTTCTATTACTATTATATAGATGTGTTTGTGCACACCTACAAACACACACATAGATTTGTGTGTGTGAGTGTGTATGTGTGTGTGTGTGTGTGTGTATGTATATATATATATATATTGTGTGTGTGTGTAGTACTGGAGATTGAACCCAGGGTATCTAAGCACTTAACTACATGCTCAGCCCTTTTTATTTTTATTTTTTGAGACAGGGTCTCACTAAGTTGCCAAGACTGGCCTCAAACTTGTGATCCTCTTGCCTTAGACCCCTGAGTTGCTGGGATTACAGTCCTGCACCTCCATTCCTGGCCTAATATTATGTTTCTAAGATTTAACCATAGAACTGGGCATTCATTTTGACTGTTTTAGGATATTTCTTTCTGTGAAATTACTAGTACGTGGACATTTGTATTATGTCCAGATATCTGCTATTACAAACAGTCCTGATTTAGATCCTTCTGTGTATATCCCCAAGTGAACATTCAAATAAATTCTATTTAACACATACTCTGTTGTGAAATTATCTAGTAGTGAAAATAGTAGGTTGTTATAAAACTAAAACCCTGCTAAATTGATGAAAAGGCAAGCTACCAAGAGTGAAAAAAATATTTTTGATTCTGGCAAATGTTAAGGTCTGTAAACAAGTCAAAATAACACCTGGTATTTTGCCAGGGGAATGTTAGAGTTTGTAAACAAGTCTGGATGGTGCCTGGCAAAATGCCAGAGGGAGTGGTTTGAGAAGTAACAAAAGTGAGCCATTAAGTGTGGAGATTCCTTATTGGTTGACTGATGTATCTAGTTTATGCTAATTAAGATAAGCTGTGTGGAATGTATAAATAGCTCTGTTGCCCTACAATAAACGGCTCCCATTCCTGCTGTATCAACGTACACAAGTTATTCGTCACCCCCCCGTTATTTTGCCCAGCCAGCTGGGCTGCGGCAGGCAAAGGACTAGCATTTAGAATATATGAAAACATCTCAAACTAAAATAAAATAAAATAAAGAAATATCAAATTGGCAATGGGAAAAAATGAATAAATAGGTATTTCCCTGAAGAAGCACACAAAAAGATGTTCAAGAATCATTAAGGGAAACCAAAAGTAAAACCAAAATAAGATGTTCCTATATGTGTTAGGATGGCAAAAATTAAAAAAAAAATTGTGACAACATCAAATGTTGATGAGAATAAGGAACACCAAATAATTTATACATTGCTGACAGAAATTTAAAATGGCATAGTCATTATGGAAAGCAGTTTGACAGTTTCTTATGTAATTAAATATGCATTCGTCATAAATGTACATAAATCTATCTAGTCATTGTTTTCTAGAAAATTCATCCTAGATAAATGAAAATTTATATGCATGAAAAAAATGTGCAAAAGTGTTCATGGCAGCTTTATCCACCATAGCCTAATATTGGGAAAAGTTGAACTGTTCTGTAACACATGAATGGATAAACACACTGTGATAAATCCATAACATGGAATACTACTCAACAATGAAAAGGAATGACCAGTGATACACACGATTCTTTCTATGGGTCTCAGCAAAATTATGCTGAGTGACAAAAGCTAGAAAATCCAGCTGAACTATTAGTAATCTCAAAAGCCCTAGAAAGGTAAAAATTAAAATTCAGGACTCTAAATTTGAGGGGACCCAATGATCACCCCAATTTTCAGTTTTGCTTCCAGAAGGATAGCATTATAGGAGTAAAGAAAAACAAGAATTATACCAGAAATTAGAAAGACTAAAGGCAGCTCAAAGCCTCACAGTGTTAAATGATCTTCCCTTAATACAAATGCCTTCCAGTTGTGATCAACACAGAAGGCCTCCTTGGGTGTTGACATTTCTTCAAACACAATGCCAAGCATTAAATAAATAAATAAACAAAACACAAGATGCTTAAAGATGTAAAACCAAGAGAAAAATAAAATCAGAGGCAGAAAATAGATAATAGAAACAGAGACAGAGTTGATCCAGAAACTGGAGATAATATATTCAAACTTTAAAATAACAGTGAAAGTGTTCAAGAAGATATATGCCAAGATGAAAAATATCATAAGGAAAAGGAAATTGACTCATAAAAATAACCAAATGAATATTCCAGAATTGAAATAGAACAACAAAAAGCAACTGGGTTCCCCCCTGCTTTTCTGTCTCCATGTCCTTTTACCATGTGACTTTACAGTGGCCTCCCTATCAGTCCAGGCTCGCCAGTGTGACTTGCTTTGCTGAAGGAATGCTAACAGATGTGACAGAAGCCCTTGCACATATCTGCCTCCTCTCCTGCTCCTCTGTGACTGTCCTGATCATGCTGAGATTTAGCAGTTCTTTGTTTTGCAGCTTTGCTTGTTTGCAAATAGGAGATAATGTAGAAAACCTACCATTGGCTCTAATTGGGAAGAAATGTGCATAACAGCTTTGCTTTTGTGCTTTCTATTTTTTCTCCATTACAAGTAGAGTAACTCTCACTATTTTTGTTTTCCTATAACACGTGCAGTTTACCTAAACCAGGACCTGCAAAGCACACTGAAGAGCTTGGTTGTGGCAGCGTGGCAAATCTTGGACTATAAGGATGCACGAAGCCCTGAGACAGTGTACCACCATCAGAATTTGTTATTCACTGTCCTTCCTCAAATTGAGTGTCACAGCAGTGGATAGCACTAGACACAATCATTTCAATAATCTCAATTTTCTTAAAATACAAATGTACCTCTTGGCGTCATGTTTGAATCTGAACATTTCCTCTCTTGATATTTTATGCAGTAAAAATATTTCCCCTAAGTTTCTAAGAATCTCTTTTTTATTTCAGCAACTACAAAACTCCCAAGAGTTGTAACATGCCCCTGCTCTTACAATACATCAGATTTGGACTAAAGAATTTCATCCATCCAGACCAAAAGGGAGTTAAAAGGTCAGTATGGCATGTCGAAAAAATGTTATAACGCTGACTGCTGTACGTGACCTACTGTGACATGTTCAGGATTGATTCTTGATGTTCTAGGTAAAGAACAAAGGAGAGATTGTTTTGACTTTTCTCATAGCATATTGACTTTCTCCTAGGGCTAAGAGAAGCTGTTCAGTTGAGTAAATTTACAAAAGATTTAGAAAAAGATGAAATGTTTGCAAAGAAAATGTTTCTGAATTAGATTGATTGATTTTGATAGGACATATACTGCTATCTTTAAAGGACTTATAATTATATTGAGAATCAACTCATAAAGTTTCTAAAGTTTGATCATTTTTTTTGTCCAAAAAAAAAAAAATTCTCTTTACTCTGCTTTGAAAAGTGACAGACTTGAGACAGAATTAATTGTGAGTGCAAGTCACATGTGTTTGCACTCACCCACCTAAGGGCCAGCAGAGGCTTCTAAAGTGTAGTTCTGGCAACAAAACTGTAAGCTCCCTCAAATTTGGTCCCTGTCCTTGTGATGCACTAGTTCTCAATATCTTTTGCCCTCTTTTTCTCATCTTCTTACTGAAGTCCTTTTTTGAAGCAACATCCTATGGATTTTATGTGCTTGCCCCCCAGGGTCCTTGAGCTGTAGCCCTGGTCTTCAGTGTGGTGGTGTTAGGAGGCAGAACCATTAAGAAGTGGAGATTAGTGGGAACTGGTGAGGTCGTTGGGATTCTGCCAACAGAAGGGATTCATGTGGTTCTTATGGGACCCTGGTTTGTTCCCTCAAGAATATGTTATTATAAAAAGAGCAAGACGGCACCAGAGCCAAGAACATGGCAGGCCCCATGTTCTGGGTCCTCTCGAATTGAGAGCTAAATGAACCTCTTTCTTCAACTATTAGCCAGCTTCAGGTATTTTCTTATAACAAGAGAAGCGGACTGCTACCTCAAGGAAAGCACTACCTTTTCCTTCTTTGTCCTACAACAGAAATGGGCTTGGAATAAAGGGCATCCTGGAGATGATTCCCAGGGAGGCTCCTTCTGTTCACCTGTGCGTGAAGCTTACATAAGACATGGAGAAAACATCACCAGCTCTAACCATTCCAGAGTTTTTTATAGTCCTGAGTGGGGTGGAGGGAATGCCGTGCATTAGGTAGGAAATTATAAACTACTGTGGATCCTGGGATTTTTTTCTCCTCTGAATGGTCAGTGGAATCATCTCCTCTCCTGTGGCCTGTAATAATATTCCATTACATTTCCAGGAGAGGTGACCTTCTCCTGGTCATCTTCTATGTATGTATGACAGTCCTCCTCCGAGAATTCATGGCCATCTCATGGCATTCTTCACCAAAACCAGCAGTCAGGGGCATGGGGACCCCAGAGAGACCCTGATCCACAGCACTCTGATCTCCCATGCACGTGCCTCAGATAGATGTCTCTATGCCTCACCCTGGTCCCCCTCGTGGCTATGGCTTGGCATTATTCACCTTCCTTGGGCCACCCTGGACTAGTTTGGCATTCAGTCTGCAACTCTTTCATCATTGCAGCGTGACCACTTTTCCTGAGTATGGTTGTTCATATGAGAACCTGCTTTGTTTTTCCATTACTCCAGTAGTTACGAAGTTGGAAAGCACGAGTGTGTGTGTGTGTGTATGTCCATATGTTGGAGCAATGGCAAAGAAAGAAAAAATATATACTTTTTTAAAAGTAAACCGCATATATAATTGAGTGGCCTTACTTTCAGGGTTTCCCATAGAATTATAGTGATTTTTCTCTGAATTAGAGACCTAGTTCATGAAAGTCTGTGATAAACTCATTGGAGATAGGACTCTGAGACAATCAATACAGAGCTATTGTCCTTAACCATTAAAAATGATCAATGATCTTCACTAATTCTGCATTACTGTTCCTGGTCGAGTATATGTAGTTTCCATTTCAGCTTCCTTGGAATGGAGGACTATGATGGTTAACTTTTTTCTCTTTGTACCTAGCTACTTGAGAAGGTCTTAGAATATGCAGAAAACCCTCAAGCTTCCAGTTGGGCAGCAATTCTGTCAAAGTTGCTGAAAGGCCTTAGAACATTGATTAAGGAAAATAAGTCCGTATGAGCTATCATCTAGCTGTGAGCCATTAAAATACAGGGAAGCTCTTCATACACCTCGCATCTCCCTAGTTAATTCTGTTCTCCAATATGTGATTCATGCTTCCACCTGAAGGCGACTTCTTGTGCAGCGCTTCTGACTTAGAATGATCTTTCTCCAGGTATTAAGATGACACAATCTCTCACTTGTTTAGGTCTCTGTACCAATGTTCCCTTGCGGAGGTATTTTACCTATCTAGATTAAAGTTGGTTAAATCCTGCTCTATTTCTTCCTTTTTGTTCTCTTTACTGTTAGGCACCATTTAACATTTTTTCTTGGTTATTTTATTTATCATCTGTCTTTGTCCCAGTGGAATATAAATTTCATAAATAGATACTATTGTCTGTTTGGATCATGCTAGTTTCCTGCTATCTGGAAGAGTGCCCGGCACAGTGAGCATCCAATTCCTGTTGTTGAATAAATAAACTAAAATTGCTCACATAGTGCTGCAGTTTACTCTGTCTCGCTGTTTATAAAAGTTCTCCCTAACTTCTTAGTTTTGAAAACATTTTCTTGGTTTTCATTATTTCTTAATATTTTAAACTTCAAACCATCTACCATCTAATTTTGAATTTGATATGCATTAAGTAGTCAATATTTTCTTCCAGATGGACATTCAATTTCGCTAGTATAATGAGATTTATTTAAATCATGATGTGTTTATATATATATGTGTGTATATATGTGTGTGTAAATGTATGTGTGTGCAATATCTACCAATCATCTATCTAATCTGTATCTCTTTTTTTACACCTGATGCTACATCAGACTGTATAAATTTATTTTATAACAATTGCATTATGTCACAAGCCAACTGCTATTCTTAAAAATGATAAAAATATGCATGTTACTTATTTCTAACACATTGTTTTATATGCTAGGGTCAGATATGGGGCTGAATTCTAACTCTGCTCTTTCCTAGCTATGTGACTTCTATAAGTTACCTTCCTCCTCTGCCTCATTTATGTTTTTAAGATCCTGATTTCCATTCTTTTAGGTATATATGCAGAGTAATATTGCTGTATAATATGGTAGTTCTATTTTTAAGTTTATGTTCATTGAAGTATTATCCATAATAGACAAGATATGAAAATAGTTTGAATGCCCACTGATAGAAGAATGAATAAAGAAAATGTGGTACAAAATGTCAAGGATTACTACTAAGCCTTAAAAACAAGGGAAATCCTGTCACATTGCTACCACATGAATAAATCTGGAGGACATTATGCCAAATGAAATTAGCCAGGCACATAATGGCAAATATTGCATAATTTCACTTATATGAAGTTTTTAACATCGTCAAACTCAGAAACAGAGAACAGAATGATGGCTGCCAAGTACTTAGGGAAAAACGGAAATTTATTCAATGGATATAGAATTTATAAGAAAAATAAGCTTTAGTGACCTGCCATGCAATACAGTACCTAGAGTTAACAATATTGGATTTTGCACTTAAAACTTTGTTAAGAAGGCGTCTCCGCCCATTCAGACTGTTAAAGTCTCAAAGGTGGCTTCAAAACCGCAGAAATTTATTTTTTATGGTTCTGAAGACTAGAGTTCAAGATCAAGGTGCTAGTAGGTTCAGTGTTTGGTGGGCGACCATTTCCTAATTCACAGAAGGCAACTTCTTTCTGTGATCCAATATAAAGGAAGGGTCAACAAGCTCTCTTGGACCTATTTTAAAAGGACAGTAATCCCTTTCATGAGGGCTCTGACCTCTTAACCTATTCACCTCCCCAAAGTCCTTACCACCTAATACATCACTTTGCAAAGTTAGGATTTCACTATATGAATATGGGAAGAACACAAGCATTCAAACCATAAGCAAACAGTAAACTTCATGTTAAGGATTCTTACGACATATAGGAATAAAAGAAGTTGGTTTAAATTCACAACTTTAAAAAATTTTTGATAGCCACCTAAGTATTTACTACCATACCAGTGAGTATTAAAGTCATTAAATAAGGTGTTATATACTTGTCTGAGATGATATATACTTGTCAAAAATTTCACTAAGATTATTCTTTTATTAATTTTTCATTAAATTATATTTATTCATAGTTTAGGCCTTAATAATAATGCCAACAATATCATGTTCATAAACATTTACTACTTTTTCAAGATAAAACAGTGTTTTCAACTAATAGCATTTGTTTGAAGGTTGCTATGGGGTTTAAATGAGATAATGTACATAAAGGACCTACCACAGAACTTAAATTGTTATTGATTCATAGTCATAGCATTATCATTTTGCAATAGAAATAAAAATGTTGTCTTATAATTTTAATTAAAATATTTCAGCAATATATATTTAATTAAAATATGTCAGTGCCTAAACTGCTTGTGTTGATGATACTACTATTGAATAGCATCAAAGGGGGATGATATAGTATAATTCTTAATTTGGTATTAGTTATCAATAAAAGATTTGCAAGAAAACAGCTTTATGACAACCAAGAATTGATAAAGTGCTATAAAATAAAATCTGAACTTTGTAAAGTCAAGCCTCTCTATCTGTAGATTCTATACCTGTTGGAATTCTCAGATTGAAAATATTTGAAAAAAAGTAGTGTGTGTACTGAACGTGTTCAGCCTTTTTTTCTTGTCATTAGTCTTTAAACAATATTGCATAACCAATATTTGCATGTCATTTTTATATTATTAGATATTGTAAGTATTCAAAACCCATGCAGGAAGATATGGTTAGGTTGTATGCAAATACTCTGCCATTTTTTATAAGGGACTTGAGCAGTTGTAGATTTTGGTTGCTATAGGAGGTCCTGGAACCAACCACCCATGATTACTGAAGAATAACTCTGTCTTGTTGGGTCATTCTTACAACTGTTGCTTCTAGTAGAGTCTTAGAAAATGTACTAATTTATCAATATGCATATCTATATTCATTGAATCATGTATACCCCTCTGAAATGAATTTTGTATGGTGGTGAGAGATTTGGGATTTGGATGTATGGACATGAAGTGAATTTTGACAAACCTTGACCTCATAAAAGATGAAGCATTGACAAGGAAATTACTCTGCAAAAGTCACTAGTTTACAAAGTCCTGATTCCTAACAAAACGTTTTCTTTTATGGGATGGGCCATTAAATTACATATGGACAATTTTTGAATACTTTTTAGTGACAGTTGAAACACATGAAAGCTTTTATGGTCTAAATCCAATCAAATAGAGTTTTTGAAAGAATGGTATTTCTGTCATTTAATCCCCTCGCTACCTATTTTTGGCTATTTTATAGGCCCTATTATCATTTACATGACTCATTCCTGACCTGTAAAAGACATATATATTTTTTCTTCTGCTTCTTCAGATAGTTAGCATTATCTACAATGAAAACTTTGGTTTAATTAGTCAGTCTTTAGAATTTTTTACTGAAAGTCAATGAACCTAAAAGCTTCTAGCAAGGTTTTAATTATTATTTTTTTGCATTGTTTTCTGCCTTGTTTTGTTTTACTCTGTTTTTAAAGATACTATGAAGATAATAATCCCTCACACTTTTGTTATTTTAATTACTTTTTGGCTTCTTTCTCTTTCTGGAAATTAAAAGTACATAATAGTATAAATAAAAGTTCTCCCAACTTAGCTTTTGTATATAACCTTTAAATAATTAAAATTCTAACGTTCTTTCAGAGATCTTGCAATTATACAGGAAGGTGTGAAGTCTAAATGTTTTTAAGTAAATGAGACCGTGCTGGCTGATAATACTTTTGAAAGCAATATTTATTATTTAAGGTATTTGGAAGGTGGAACTGAGCCTTTGTGGTGCCCATGAACAGCAAGCCCAGACTGCATCAGGTTGAGTCTTTCCATAGCTGCAGTTTACTATAATGCCCGTGGCTTGCATAGGGGCTCTTATGAGAAGTAGACATATGCAATCACATCTGCATTTTAAAATACAATTTCATCAAAAGTGTCATTGTTAGGTGATCAGAGCCTCTAATAGACCATATAAAGTGAATTTCTCAAAGCACCCAGATGATTGATGTTAATTCATTAATTACTGATATACTGTTTCTTCCATGCAAGGTACCCATCTAGGTGCTGGTTGGATCACACAGAAGATTCCAGATGAAGTTTCTATTTCTCACTGGGCTCTCATTCCTTTGGAAATCATTCTTTAGAGTAAACAATGATGGCTATGTAATTAATCACGATTCTCTCTTTGCCTTGATTTTTATGGAGTTCAGATTTAAGTTGGAGTGAAGTGTACCTCAGTCATCTGTAAAAATGTAGAAATAAAAATGAATAAATTTGCTTCTTGTATTTTATTTCTTGACCCTTTTTTTCTTTCATCTGTGAGTATACACTAGCTTTGCCCTCAAGCTCTTTTGGGGAATAACCCCTGTAGTCGTGTAGCTAAGTCAGCACTGTCTCCGTCAATCAAGTCCTGATGAGATTTGACCCTAGCTTTTGGAACAGAGGCATGGAAGGAGATAAATCAAAACTTAAGAACCATCTTACAAGATTTTCGCCTCAGCTGAGGGGTCTACGTAGTTTGCAAGCAAGAGGGGATCACTGCGCTCTTACACGGAGCACTTACCCTCAGCTGAGCCTGGAGTTCAGGTACTTCAGGTTTTCTGCCGTCAACTACGTATTTCTCTCATGTGCTCAGATAACAATTTATCTTTATCTTCGCCCCAGTATTAGTGAAAGAAGTTTTTCAGGGATGCCTTCTTTGTAACTGTTACTCTCTTATTAGAAAGCTGACTTGCTTTAAAATATTTTCCCCTACAGCGGAATGAAAAGAAAGTATTTTAAACAATGCTATAGGGACCAATCCTTTTCAAATTTTTTTCCCTGATTTGGTGCTAAACTAGCTCAGTCCTGGAAATTCTTCATTAAGTGCATTAAATTCATTTAACCACTAACCAACTCCACATACTTATAATTGCCACACTTCAGAAATGTGTCCCCTTCTTCCTACATCCAATTACAGTGTACTACAGGGGTAATCTTGGCCCTTGTGATACTATGCCGGGAATGATCACTACCTTGTTCACCAATGGCTAGTGTGAGATTTATGGAAGAGGAGTCAGCCAATAACAAGTTTAGACACCTGAAGATGAATCCCCCTTAGTAATGACACAATATACTTGCATTAGAATCAATCCATCTGAGACATAAGAATGAGGATATAGAAATACCAACACTCCAAAGTCATTTATTAAATGGTATTCCAATAGAGATTTATTTCCAAGTATTTGTTTTTATGTATTTATTTATTTATTTTATTTTTTTATTATTAGATGTTCAGAACATTACAAAGCTCTTGACATATCATATTTCATACAATTGATTCAAGCAGATTATGAACTCCCATTATTTCCAAGTATTTGTGGACTTCAACGTGTGTGACAGTATGACTTTCTCCAGTCCAGGAAAAAAAAAAACTCTTTTTTTATATAGTGATAAATTTTATCTTAGTATTTATTTGTTCTTTTTAGATATACATAGAAGTAGAGTGTTTTTTGACATTATGCATACATGGAGGTTATCTTATTCTAATCAGGATTCCATTCTTGTGGTTGTACATGATGTGGAGATTCATGTTCATCCATGAATACACTATAGAGAACTTGCTGATACTGGCTTTCCAATGTCAACAAGAACACACTAAATGTTTTGAGGGATAAGAACATTGTATTAACAGCATGTGCTACACATAGAAACAAAAGATGTAGGAAAATATAACAAAAGATTTAGAGATATTTGGAACATATGTCTTTTATTTTAAAGGATGGAAGAGAGAATAAGCAGAAGCAATATTTGAAGAGATAATGTCTGAGAATTTTTAAAGTTGAAAAATGATAGCAAGTTACAGACTCAAGAAATGTTGCAAATGTTAATAATAATAATAAGAGAATAACCATGATTTATAAATCAGTTAAACCAGACACAGTGGCCTATGTCCATGATCACAACTTGGGAGGCTGAGGCAAGAAGATCCTTAGTTAAAACCCAGCAGTAATTTATAGAGACCCCATCTCTAATAAAATACATATTTAAAAAGGTCTTCCCAGTTGGTTAAGTGCCCCTGGGTTCAATCCCCAATACCTAAATAAACAGATAAAATCAAATATAAACATTGTAAGAAAGAATATTTTATGACATATTTATGTTCATGGAAACCAACATATTAAGCAAATTAAGAGCCAAAAGACATATCTAGTATAAAAAGAATAACATACCAACACCAACTTAGATTTATTTAGAAAACATAAGTTTGGTTTCACATTTTATGTCAATCTGTTTTATTTAGCATATTAGTAAAAAAAGGAGAATAAAGTCATATGTTAATAGATATCAAAAAATCAACATTCATTCATAATAAAAACCTTTAACTTTTCAGGAAAAGAGCACTTCTATAATATGAAAAATTATCATAAAAAATTACCATGGATATCATACTGAAAAGTCAAATGGTAAAGCTTTTTCCTTGGCAGGAGGAATTATACCAAGAGGTCTGCTGTCACCATTACGTTCCAGATCATCTTGTGTCAGTTAAAAAACAGTACTCTAAATAGATTAGAAAAGAAGAAATAAACTATTATCTATCTACAGAAACGGTTGGCTATGTGGAAAAGCCAGAAAATCTGCAAACTAAACTATCAAAAATACTTACATTTAGCAAGTTTGCTAATTAAATTCAACAATGAAGTACATTCTGTATGTTAGGAAGAAATACAAATAATTTTTAAACATATTAGAATTTAAAATATCATTGACAAAACAAAAATATTAAACATCTTGGGATAAATTTAATAAAAATGCAGAACTTCTATGATGAAAGCAATAGAAATTATTAAGATAAATTAAAAGAGACTATAGAAATGTAATAATATAACCATAACAAACATGGGTTGAATAACTGATTTTAATATGTAATATTTGTAATTTTTGTATAGATTTTCTGCAATTTCAATGAAAATTTCAAGAGGTGTGTGTGTGTGTGTGTATGTGTGTGTGTGTATCAGTGTGTGTGTATAGGTGTATGTGTAAGATGACAAGCTGATTTTAAAATTTAAATAGACATGAAAAGGTGATGACAATTTTGAAAAAACAAAACAACAATCAAAGTTATAGGACTTAAACTATCAAGTATCAAAATTTATTATAAACCTATAAAAGTATAGTCATTAAGACATTACAATGTTAGAGAAAAATATAAAAATGGACTATAAAGTAGAATAGAGTGTTTAGAAACAGATACATAAACATGACTATTCAAGTTATGAAAAAGGTGCTTATTTAATGAATGATGCTAGATTAGTCAACAGTCACACAGGGGAGTTTTTCTTTTTTGAAAGAAACAAAACAATCTTTATCCTTTCCTAATTCATACACACACACACACACACACACACACACACACAAATTCATGCACACACACACACACACACACACACACACAAAATTTGGATTTGAAAAACACATTCCCCAGTTTGTTAGTAGGTTTCCCATCAAGAGGCCCTTCTTCATCAATTGAGTGTGACCAGGGCTGCTTTATTGTGAACAAATGATGTTTTGTGACTTGAAGGCCAAGGCAGTTCAGTTTCACCTGAGTTTTGAGTTACTTCCTCTTGGTGTGCTCTAAGAAATCCAATCCCTGTGCTAGGAGAAGCCAGGTAGCACAGAGAACCTACGTGAAGGCATTCCAACCTGGTATCAGTTGGGCCCAGTTTGAACTGATCCTAAGGTTACAGCCAGACACTGTAGCAGAAACTGTCTAACATGGTAATACCCTGTTTCATTTCGGGGTTCACAGAATTAGCAATTACAGCATTCTTCCCTTCTCCCCCAGAGGTTATGTTCCTTGAAACATAACCTATAATAAAGTTTAATATATAAATTAGGCACAGTAAGATATTAATGACAATAATTAATAATATATAGAATGATTATAAATATTATACTATAATAAAAGTTATGTGAATATGGTTTGCATGTCAAAACATCTCACTGAGCTATACTCCCCCTTCTTGTGATTATGTGAGATGATACAATGCCTTCATGATGAGGGTAAAGGGGATTATTCATAGTTAGGCTAGTATTGACTTTTTGACAAAATTTTACAGGGGAATCATCAAACCACGGTGATGCCAACTGACCACGGTACCCACAACAGTGGGGAGGTAAACTGCAGATAAGAACAAACAGCTGTACATGGAATAGATGGTCGCATTATTCCATCTGTAATATACTGTACAACAGTAGTAACTGAAACATGGCTAAAACAGATCAATAAGATGGTCAACATTTAAGCCATCAGATATATGAACATTGACACCAGGCAAATGTGAATTTTTGTCTAAATTATCTTTACTTGGTAACAGAATTCATCTCCAAGTTAACAGCTTAGTATAACAATAACTTCTATTCTCTGCCCTCCCATCTTGTTGTGGGTTAGCATCCACATAGTAAAGAGAACATTCACCTTTGGTTTGGGGTGATTGGCTTATTTCACTTAACATGGTAATCTCCAGATCCATCCATTTACTAGTGAATGTTATAAAGTCCTTCTTCTTCGTGGCTGATAAATATTCTACTGTGTACATATAACACAATTCTTTATCCATTTACCTGTTGATGGACATCTAGGTTGGTTCCGTAGCTTAGCTATTGTGAATTTTGCTGCTATAAACATTGATGTGGCTGCATCACTGTAATATGCTGATTTAAGTCCTTTGGGTATGAACACAGGAGTGGGATCACTGGGTCAAATGGTGGTTCAATTCCAAGTTTTTTGAGGAATATTTCCAGAGTGGTTGTACTAATTTTCAGTCCACCAACAATGTTTGAGTGAACTTTTCCTCACATCCCCACCAACATTATTGTTTCCTGTATTCTTGATAATTGCCATTCTGGTTGGAGGTAAGGTGAAATCTCAGTGTAGATTTAATTTGCATTGCTCTAACTGCTAGAGATGTTGGACATTTTTTTTATATATTTGTTGAGCATTCATATTTCTTTTGAGAAGTGTCTGTTTATTTCTTTGCCCATTTGGGTTATTTCTGTGTGTGTATGTGTGTGTGTGTGTGTGTGTGTGTGTGTGTGTGTGTGTGTGTGTGTGTTTTGGTGTTAAGCTTTTTGAGTTTTTTTTTTTTGTATATTCTGTAAGTTAACACCTTATCTGAGGTGCAGGTGGGAAAGTTTTTCTCCCATTCCATAGGCTCTCTCTTTATGCTCTTGAGTTGGGACTATTAATTCTGCCTATCCAACAATATGGGAGATCTTTCCATCTTCTAAGATCTTCT